TTTTTTTTTTTTTTGGTACAAACAGTGTTATAAAATTCTGTTGTTCAATAGTAGGGATGTGTATTTCATATTTTGGAGGACTTGGGTTTAATTTTCATTTCAGAGACCTGGTAATGTGAGCACCAGACAAATGTTGTAATAAATCTTAAGACAAAATGCTGATATTTCTTTTCTCAGCCTTCCCTTTTCATGATTCAAACTCATCAGCCCATTAGTAATATATAAACTAAACAGCTGACAAAGCCTTGCTAAGTAAACCAAGAAAGGAATGTGAACTGTGTTGGAATGCATGATAATAATTTTGTTTCTTGTTATATAATGTGAATTATTTATATCCTTTTGGAAAACTGATTTTTTGGAGTTCCAGAAATACAAAATTTGAAACAATTATCATTCTATTTCCTTGTAACTAAAAGCATCAGATGTATGCATTGTGCTGTGGTTAGGGAAATATTTGGACATGAGAAGGATGAATTGGACAGTTTAGGGTATCATGTACCAAAGAATTTCGTAGGTAATACACATTACCAAACCTTATGGAAACACAGTCTAGGAAGCTACGATAAGCTGGGATATAGCTAGAGTATGCTGAGGCAAAGATTGTGTATGGGATGTTGGTGAGGAAATCTGGGGGTGGTAGGAGGATAACATTAAGATGAATTTTATGGAGATGAGTTTTGAGGTTAAGAGATAAATAGAACTAATTGTGGATTATGGTTTTAGTGTTGAATCTTTGAGCTCTGATACTGGAGTCAGGCAGTTAATCCCAGTAGATCCGTTTGATTTGTTTCATTCTGGTCCGTCACACTAACAATTACAAATATAAATCACAGTGAAAACAGCACAGTAGCCACGAGCAAACCCTGGACGATATAAAGAACCTCCACATCAAGATAGCCAGGTGGCACAATATCTGCCCCATATAAGAGGGACGATGGGAGGACGAACACGAGCCTGCATGGTTTACGAATTTTAATTATTGACAATCCAAAAAACTTTTAATTGGCATCAAGAAATTTTATACAATTTTTTAAAAACTTTACATTCCCAGGAAACTGCTGTGTTTGTGAAATGTTCTATCTAGTGTACTTTGTGTTGTAGCATAGAAGTGTACATACTTTACGTGTAAAAACTTATGTGATGGTGGTTTCCTATTTGTAGTGATGTTTGCCCTCTGAAGATGGTCCACAGAGACTGAAACATGTAAGGGTGTTAAGTTTTCATGTAGTAAAAAACTTATAGGTCACATTGGACGGAGTGATTTATATTTGCCCAGTAGATCCATTTGAGGCATAAACTGATGCATTACCTGATTCAGGATAGGGACGAGTGGAAAGCTTTTTTGAATGTGATAATGAACCCTCAGGTTCTATAAGGGCAGGAAGTTTCTTGACTAGTTTAGTGACTATCTTCTCAAGAAGCACCTTGCTTCATATAGTTGATTAAGTATGAATTCATTGAAGGTTTTTTATGATGTCCAGGTTAAGATTCTCTGTCTGTTGAGGATATTGGGGAAGAACGATGCTGAAGCCTCGGAAGCAATGAATGACATTCTTGCTCAGGTTGCAACAAACACTGAAACAAGCAAGAATGTTGGCAACACAATCCTCTATGAGACAGTTCTTTCCATTATGGATATTAAGTCAGAGAGTGGCTTGAGGGTGAGTTATTCTGCTTCCTCATCTCATTACACAAAAGTGTTTCTATGTTGGTATTTAGATGTCATTACACATAAGTGTTTGAGTCAGGATATATCAGTCAGTGAATTGACCAGCTGCAGTCTGGAGGATCAGTGTTTGATTGTTGGCTAGGTATGATTTTTTTTTTTCCCCCTTTACCACTACAGCCACCATGGCTTTGAGTTCCGCCTAAATTCCTGCATGAAGTGCATAAAATGAATGTTTATTGGGTTAGTTGTGTCTGACTGCTGGTATGCCCACCCATTTACATGCTTCAGCTGCAAAACTACTAGATGGATTTTGATGAAACTTTGTATTGGAATTCTGTGCTATAATTTGTTGGAAGGATTAGTTTTGGTTCATATAAGTTGAGTGTAAAACATAGTTTGTATGAAGCTTCAATTGTACTTCATCAGAAATATCTTACTAAACATTTTTTAATGGTAAAAAAGAGAGATTTTATTTAAGATCAGTTTTTTTGCATCTGTAAGAAATAAAGGTCAAGGCTAATCTGATATGCAAAATTACAAATAATGCATTTGGAAAATGCAGAGTAAGTATTCTCTTGTTGGTTACTAACATTTGTTGTCCAAAAATAGGGATTATTAATCTCCTAGGTTTAAGGGGATGGTGGCCATTTTTAATTCAGTGGTGTAACAGTTTATCAACCAGGAATCAAAACTTAATTTCTCACTTCTACAGGGCAGGCACACATACTTTATCTTTGGTGTAATAGCATGATTATTAAAGGCATTGCTTGGTCAGCTGGACTGTAAACATGCATCATTGCAATAATGCAACAAACAGCTAGTAAAGTCTAACAAAGGAAGTAGTAGTATATAGAAATTAGTGAATGGCTTTTGAGTTTATACCAAACATCACAGTCAAATGGTTAGCACTCCTGCTTCAGACTTGTGAACCTGGGTTCAGTTCTTGACCTAGTGACCAGCTGTCATACCTCAGGGTTTTCATGGTTTTCCTTAGTTCCACCAAGCATATGCAATTACCAGTTCCCTCCATATCCTCTTCAGTGATCTTATGGTTTGATGCTATATGTAAACGAACAAAGAAACAGTATATATACAAATATTTGTTTATTTGATGTATAGGGTTACTTTTATTCATCTCCCACCTTAAACAGACAAACTAAATTAAATCATGTCATTTCTGCTGTGATATGTTTCGATCCTTCAGGTTCTTGCCATCAACATTCTTGGAAGGTTTCTGCTAAATAATGATAAGAACATTCGTTATGTGGCTTTGAATACACTTCTGAAGACTGTGTACATTGACACCAGCGCTGTGCAGCGGCATAGGAGTACCATCCTGGAGTGCCTCAAGGTATCCTTTTCAAGTACATTTTATGTCATGGATATATTATATGAAGGAAATTGTCATAATTGCACTTTCAGGGCTTTTAAGGAACTCCAAAAATATTACAAAAATTACCAAATCAAAATTTGAAATTTATAACTGTGGGTAGGGACTTAACTGATGGAATTCTTGGTCTACAGATACATAGTTAAGAGTTTTTGTTTAGTGCTGCAAATCAGATGAACTCTTCATAGTTTGGTATAACATACTGGTACAGTGAAGTACTAGTCTTTAGGTTTTTCTGAGAGGGTATGAATTCAGCAGTAAACTGAGGAGAATCTTGAATGGAGAAGTTCAGTACTGAGATAGTGAGGCTGAGATTATATAAAATTTACACTAAATGAGGAAAAACCTTAAAAAGAATACATTAAATTTGGAATCCACTGTATGCAAGATTTTATTATAGAGCTACAGAATTCTAACACCGATTTTTTTATATACAGGATCCTGATGTTTCAATTAGACGGAGAGCTCTTGAACTAAGTTTTGCGCTTGTTAACTCCAATAACATCCGGACAATGATGAAGGAATTGCTGGTGTTTCTGGAGAAAGCTGACCCTGAGTTCAAAGCACAGTGCTCATCCAGCATTGTTTTAGCAGCAGAGCGCTTTGCTCCCAATAAGCGCTGGCACTTGGATACATTACTCAAAGTGCTCGTAGCGGTGAGTCTCATTATTATATGGTGAGCAGGTATTTGGGACTAAGCATAGGAAAAGTTATTGTATCCTATGAACACTGAATTGGACCACATGGGAACAGAGCCCAGAGGCCTGTAAGCAAGTTACAAAGCTGTACTTGATGCTCTTGGGAAGGCTGAATCCTTGAAGTCTTCCATCACTTCATGTCCTAAACATTGGGCTGCCGAAACTTCCTTCAACCACCTGGTTGCCAGAACAATGTTTGTCACCTGTTTTTTGGATGCTGAAACACTTCTTATCAATTCTTTTTACTAACCCTGTTGGTTAACATCCCATTCCTCTGTTCAGTCAGAATTTCACCTCTGACACACTGCCTAATATGGGAGGTATACAAGAGCTACGAAAGCCCTCTCAGTCATTAACCCTGAAGATGGCAACTGCAGGGTTTTCCAAAACATTTGAAAACGCTAAACATTCGACTGGTCGTCGTCCTGAAAGCTGAAGCTGCACATTAAGCATCAGATGTGAATACCTAAATACTAGGATGGAAATTAAGCTTTATATATTTTCACGCTGGTTCTTATAAGTCTTTAAGTTTAGAAATATTGTTCCTGTGGCTATATGCCAACTCACATGTTAATGTGTGAATGCATTGGTACAAATTATTATTATTATTGTTATTATTATTATCATTATTGTTGTTGTTGTTGTTATTATTATTATTATTATTATTATTATTATTATTATTATTATTATTATTATTATTATTATTATTATTATTGTAGCTAAGTAACTATCTGCAGAGAGCACTATTGTAGACATGTGCTCCAGATTTGTTCACATCTCTAAGTGGTAAGGTTGTCATTCTCATCTCTAGTAGAGTATGTAAGGAGGTTGTTGGACAGGTCAGTTTGTACTCATACCTGAACATATAAATAACATCCTTTCAGATTTACAACTGTTAAGAAGTTAACAGTGTTTTTGCATTAATGTTGCTTTCTATTATTATGATAGTTGATATTTATTAAATTGATACTGTTATTTTTAATGTAAAGTGTCAGTTGATAACCTTGTTTACAGTTAAGAAAGAAAGCATATTGTGTCTTCTGTATCATTTGTCAGTGATCACTTAAGAGTATGTTCTCTTCATGTGGTGGGTATTTGTCAGCTCAGTGAATGTACCTCATAACACATGTTTGAAGGATCCTCCCTTCTTCTGAGCACATGCCTTACAGTGATGTCATATTAAGCCCCTGACATTAACTAGTTGTGTAGGTAGATTCCTAATGTCTGCTTCAGCCAGCTGAATGAAGTTAATTAAGTCATTAAAGTCAGAAATTTAGTGGCATATACCCTTCCCTTCAAGCATCCCCACAAATATAAATCTAGGGGAGCTCAGGTCAGAGGAATGTGGAGGCCAATCCATTTGTCCATAAAGTTGTTGTCAAGTCAGTTGCGCACTCTGTGCAAAATGGGGGGTGGCACCATCATGCTGAAACCACATGCCCTTGTGCATGTGTACGAGTACATCCTCCAACAAAATGGAAACATTCCTTTAAGCAAATTAGTGTAGCACATTGCACTGCCATGATTCTATATTAGATAGGGTTCAGTTACGTAACTGACTGTGATTCCAGCCCAAACATCGACGCTGAATCTTTGCTGTAATGAAGAGTGATGAGTAGATGTTCATTCTCCGTTGCCCATACATGCAGGTTGTGTACACCCCTTCTTATTATAGTAATATGCCTCATCGGTGCACAACATGCAGCACACATACTGAGGAGTGCCCAGAATCTTGTGTGGCACCCATTGTGAGAACTAGAGATGGAGATGTTTGCCCCCTGGTAGCAGTCATGCCACAAATAGATGGAATGAACACAACAGTTTGCCACACTACATTCTGGTAAAATTCTCTTGCAGAAGAACTCTCATGATTCCTGGTTGATGGGTATCTTGTATGATATTCAGCACATCCTCCTCATCCTGCATATTGTATCTTAGATGGCCAGAATATACATGTGGCATGAGCCTCCTGTTTCTCTCAAATTATTATACACCCTAACAAACACATGTTGGTGAGGTTGTCTCCAATTTGGATATAGATGTTGATACTCAGTATAACCAGAGAATTTCCATCACAGAAACCATATACCGGGTGCATATTACCAAACTCTGCATTAGTAAATACAGGCAGTTTTGCTGTTTCTTCACTGTTCTTGTAACATATACTTAAGTCTCATAACTGTTCTTCACTTATCTGCTTACATGATCTCAGCATAGAGCCCTCATCAATTGAACACAGTGATACAGAGTGATGTCACCACAGACACGTAACTCTGAAATTGAGAAGCATCTAAAAGCAACTAACTTTATATTTCCAGCTCCATGTGATCTCCCCAATAACCCCCTTAAGTATTATGCTAGAACTTTTAATTGCCCTATATAGTAACTTACTCTTATAGGATGTAATGAAAATGTCTGCTCTGAATCAATTATAATCTTGTGCTGGTGCCCTGGAACACATAATGTAATTACACTCAACTCTCGATTATCCGGGATAATGGTGGGGATGGAAATCACAATTAATTGAAAACCTGGTTAAGACAAATTTTATTAAAAGTAGTACTGTAATACTGTACCTTCATAATACTGTAGACCTACCTCTATTTAAATGTATTCAACCTCATTTTTATGTCATCTCATGGCCTATTTAATAATTTTTTACATTACACTGAAGTATGAATTAGTTATTTCAGTCACATTGTTCAACAACATCCAACACTTCTTATGAATATTCACGCTTAACACTTAAAAAAATTTAATATTGTTGTTTACTTTTTCGCGGCATTTTCCTTTTTCTGTTGAATACTTAACACGACATGCTTCCTTTTACACCCTGACATTTTGCTAACGCACTTGAAGATCAATACAACGAAACTAACTTGGGCGGTGTATCTGTCCGTGAAACTTTCCACAAATCCTTGCATTCTTTCACCCCTACCCTAGAACATTGTGTTAGCATAACGGGACCAAATAATGCAGAGCTCAGTTCACACTAGTGCGAAAATAGTGTTACAACTCACCATGTGAAACAGAAGTGAATGAATATTAAACAACATATAAGCCGCAAACTGGTTTATCCGCCCCCGGATAATCGAGAGTTGAGCATATTTCTTGGTTTACAGGCTGGTAACTATGTTCGGGACGATGTGGTGTCCTGCACAATCCAGTTGGTCTCAGAGTCAACATCACAGCAGGGCTACATTGTAGAGCAGCTGTGGCACGCGCTGGAGAGGGACACAATGGACCGGCAGCCACTCACACAAGTTGCCACCTGGTGTATTGGAGAGTATGGAGACCTTCTTATATATGGACCTTCTACCAGTGAAGACAACCCCATCAGGGTGAGAGGATCTCTTGTTTTACATGGAGGTAGCAGCTACATGGGCATAGTGTGTTTGAGGAATGTCCTTAGCAATTACTTGGATTGCAGATCATAGTAAATTTCTGTGAACTTTTATATTTATACCTTATTAGTGCATATTTTAGGGGAGAAATTGCTAAAATATTCCAGAACACAGGCAGTCACATTAGAGCACAGGAATATACCCAGAACATCTTTGTAGAGGCAAAAGATAAGCTGCCTTCATATGTTAGTGCCATACTTGGAAGGCATATAGTAAGGGAAGTGGGACCACAGTTTCATACATTATTATCCTCGTGCTTTGGCCAGTTCACACCCAGAACAACTCTGGAATCCATTAACCTTTTAAAGAATCAATTTCTTCCGAACACTACATAAAAATTCAGTTCTTTGTACAATGCCACAAACACATTTCATCCCCACTACACATAATAATCAGTTGATACTATTTAGGGTTTCACGCTGTATATTTTTAGAACTGCGTGAAACAGACAAATGCAGTCTGTGAGTGGAATGCATAGCTGTAGTATGTTAAAGCAGATGGAAATATTGGTACTACGGGGAATTAGAAAACTAAATAGGAGACATTGAATCCAGGTGCTGGTCTGAATATAGTGAAAAAAAGGATTTCTGGCCCTGCGAGAACCAAGTGGTGGCCATCCGTCCTGTAGCCAATCACTTTTATGAGCTATCCTGCCTCCATATCAGTATGTATAAAATTAACGAGTTCCAGACAGAACTCATTAAAGCTGTTTTCTTGTTGCACTGACTTCTGTTTCCACAAATTTTGTGCTGGTAATGCCATATTTAGTAATGTGAACTTGTAATCCTCAGTTTTAATTTAGCTTATGGGTTACCCTCCTGGACTTACGCATAAATGATCATAAGATCAAGTCATAGCTAAGTAAAATTGTTATTGAAATTCTAGATAAGTTATATTTGCTGTTGCTGTTGTTGTTGCTGTTGCTGTTGCTGCTGCTGCTGCTGCTGCTGCTGCTGCTGTTGCTGTTGCTGTTGCTGTTATAGAGTATCATATTTTGTATTCTGTTCTTTAATTATTTTTGTGTATTTCTATCTATTCGTGATAACTTCGTAATTGGCCTCTGTGCTGTTAAGTTTGTACCTAAATAAACATGAATTGATTATCATCATCTTCAGCAGCAGCAAATGTTGACCTCACTACTTAGGTTGCAGAAGGATAAAGGGATGCCAAGGCGGAGGTTGCATGTACAGTCTGTCCAGTCTTAACACCTTATATCACCAACAAACAGGAAGGAGATCAGACATTTGGCATTGGCAATCACTGGCTAGATGAGATATATTAGTATCGTGGGGAAACATTCATCTCTTCAATACAGATTTTGTCTACATGAAATTCCTGAGATTTGAGGTTCTTTTGATAACTTGAGGTTAATGTCTTCTGGGATGTGGTGCCTATTGTCTGGTACATATTTACTGACATTTCAAAGGAACCTGCTGCCTCCATCTTCAGGGTAGAAGTGAAATTTATTGCCCGTAACCTCTGAGGTTTGCTCTGTCACCATGTTTTTAATTATAGTTTTGCACGTAATCAGAATATTGTATAATGATCAGTTCTGAAATTTGTGTTTGTGCTATTTCTCTTGGTTTTAAAATAAACGTAATTAAAATATATGAAACCACAATTTTTCCTGTTTTGTGTGGGTGTTAAATGTAAGTCTAGGAAAGTATTGTATATGAAGGGTGCCTGTGAACACTGTGGTGGGGAGAGAGGATGCTTGGTCCTCAGAAATTAAGTAACAAAAGACTAAACAACACTGCATAATGAAGAGCTTTGTTGTATGTACCCATCAAGTAATATTTTGATGGTTAAATTGAGAATGGTGAGATGATCAGGACATGTAGCACACAGGGAAGTGACCAGTTCCGAGACTAATATATGGGCAGGATGACAGTATTAAAATTGGTTTTGGGAAAGTAGAGTGTGATAATTTGGACTGCATTGAATTGGTTCAGGTGAGTGTCCAGATCATGGATTTGAGAATATGGTGATGAATCTTTATTATCTACAGAAACATGTAATCTTTTGAAGATTACTTTCTTTTGGGCTGTGGTGCCATGCAGCATGGTAAATTATTACAAGCATTTTAGAGGAGTATATTGCTGCATCTTCAAGCAAGTAACGAAATCTTACATGAATTTACTTTGGTCAGCCATATAAAAGGAATCAGTACCGAGAAGTTGGTTACATTGGCAAGACCTCAGTCCTATGGAAACCTGTTATTCAAAGTGATTCACGTGCTTTTGTTTGTATTCTGTAATAACTACTGTTTTCTTTTTACATCTGAACAGGTGTCAGAAGATGATGTAATTGCAGTATACCAGAGATTATTGTGGTCCACACAGAACACAATCATTACCAAGCAATATACATTACTGTCACTTACAAAACTCAGCACACGCTTCCAAGCAGGCAATGAGTAAGTTTTTTATGTTCTAGAAACCATATTGTTGGGAATGTTGACATATATCCCATGTGTGTTTCTATGTGTACGTGTTCATGTGCATGGGCATGCATAGATGTATGTTTATGTGTGTATGAGAGCCAGATTTCTCTTTCATTTATTATCTTTATCCTCCTCCCCATATTCAAAACAAGTATGTGTTCACACTTCCTGGCTCATGCTTGCACGGGCAGGAATGAGAGACATTTATGGTGGCAAAGTGAAAGAGCAAGTCATCTACAGTGTGTGTGTGTTCCTTTAGTTCTACAGCTAGATATTTCTTTCATCCGGTTTCTCCCTCTCATCTTTCCTGTTTTTCCACACGCTCCCCCAAGTTATTACATGTGCAGTTATTTTCTTGTTGCAGTACAGTGTTTTTGTGCCCACGGGTTTTGTTTCTGCTGTAGATAAATCTTGTCTGTATCATATATGTTGTTAGTGTTTTGGTTTATCAGTTTTACACATATGATCATGGTACACGATGACATGATCTTCCTAAATTTCAATTTTCCAACATTCATCTTAGGGCTGTTTCATCAGAATTAAGTTCTGTCAGTTACTAATTGTCATTTCATAAGTTATTAGAAACACTGTGGCTGCATAAAATGGGGGTGCAGTGAGACAGCAGTACATCATTATTTATAGGCTTTAAGACAGCCTATGATGCAGTTAGGAGGAAGGTATTGTTTAATATTTTCATTGAGTGTTGTGTACCCATGAAACTAATCAGGAAATTAAAATGTGTTTAAATGAAACATATAGTAATGTCTGTGCAGGTAAGCGTTTGTTATGTTTCATATTTAGAATGGTTAGAAACAAGGAGATACTTTATCACCATTGCTTTTCAATTTGCTTTATAATACACCATTAGGAAAGTCCAAGAAAATCAGGTAAAACTGAAATTGGTTGGGTCATATCAGCTTTTGGTCTGTTCTGGTGTTAATTTGTTGGGGATAACATAAATAGTCCAGGAGAGGTTTTAGTTGAGTTCCAAGGTTCCAGGGTGTTTGAACATGAAATGGCAAGAAGACGTAGTGATGCGAAGTACTAGTTTCTGTGTTGAGATCCGTTGCCAGGAGACAACCAGTGAAGATGGAATCCTAGCGGGTGTGCAGCAGTGAACTGGAAAGTGTGTAAATCAGTGATAGTGCTGTACTAATTGTAATTAAGGGAGAATGTAATGAAAGTGCCAATAAATGCAGTCATCTGCACTAAAATCCATTAATTTCATCATGTGTAACACTCCTCCCATACTCAGAACAGTATAGATTTTACTTGTTTTAAGTGATGTACTCACAAAGATTTAGTACTTGACTAAAAGATATATTTATTTTGATATTTTTATATGACTTATTTCAGCAAGATTCGCCAAATCATTGACACATTTGGCAGCCATCTGCACATTGAGCTTCAGCAGCGTGGTGTGGAGTTCTCTCAACTATTTCGGAAGTATGAGCATATGCGACCAGCATTACTGGAGAGGATGCCCCCCATGGAGACTGCACGACCTGCTGATGCAAATAACACAGCTGCCTTGACAAATGGCGAGACATCAGAAGATTTGGATGCAGTAGGGGACGAGGGAAACCTGCTTGTAGATGGCACAAAGGAATTTCGTGAATCCGAGACACAGGACTCGGTGAGTATTTACATCAGAGGTTGCAGTCTCACAGACCATTGGCTGGTTGTAGACCACACACCCTGTATAACAAATACCATTTAAGGTAGACACTTACCTCAATATATGGACATACAACAATTAAATATTATATGTTTTTTGAGAGTATAGTGAACCTCATTTGATGTGCCTCGTTTTAAGGTATTCCTTCATTTAATGTTCAGTTCCAGTGATCCCAGGATTGTGTTAAAGTTACTCTGTTAAAATTTTCTCCAGTTCTATGTTCAACGCCGCTATTCCTTAAAGAAATCCATTGCAGCAGTATTCAACTGAAGTCGAACAAGTATCCATTACCATATAGTGTGACATTCGACATTAGTCCACATTGAGAAATAATAATTTTCTTCAGCTACATCATTCAGCTTCATTCACTTGTCTATGAAAATGCATTTTTGTTGCATTTTTTCTCTTCATATTGTCACGTGATAGAGTGGCATTTTTTCTCTTCATATTGTCACGTGATAGAGTGACTATAGACAGGGTTTGGATTGGTGGCTCAATTTATTGCACACTTTAACACACCACTTGTGACTACACGTTACAGTTCACTGTTACGCACACGCTAGTGTTCTCAGTCTGCTGTGTTTTCACCAGTCACTGCCTGGTAATGGATTCCAGTGGCAGACGTTCTTCTTACTCGTTCCCAAACTTCCCCCTTGCCTCACCTACCAGCTTCTGACAGCAGCAACTCACAATGACTGGACTACAGTTCTCTGGCTGTTCAGTAACTCACAAATCAACTCTTCACTTCTCTGCACTGCACTAACTGAACTCAGTTGGTTGTGTGATATAGCCTCAAAGCGGATCACATAAAAATGCCTCCAACAGTACTTCCACTGTTGTGCGCATTACACTGCCAAGCAACAGCTGTTGCCTCAAGGCCTCAACTAGATATTCTGGGTAAAAATAAAGCATCAGTAAAAGTCACATAAGGTGAAAAGTTTCATGATTTGTACTGTACTCTAATTACTTGATAAATATGTAGGATTTAAACTTCCAGCTTAGGCACTTATATGATAGTAATTTGTAATTAATGACCATTCAGAATTATTTATTTTACATGACTTGCTTTTTCTTATAGCAGAGTCAATTTCCGTTTAATTAAATGTATGATAGTCATGTATCATGACAGAACAGTTTGCAATAAAAATAATTCCTAGTTTGACTGGTTAAGATTTAATTTAACAGTTTAGGTGACTTAAATTCCTATATCCACATCCAGGTAAGCTGTATGATGGATTATATCTGGTGCATTTGACAGATAAAAGCCTTGCATCAGACATTATGCATGCATCAGTAGTCTAGAAGCAGGGCTCCAAGATTTGAACAGAAGAACATCTCACAATCAGCTGATATATGATGCTGGAAGAACCTTGTTAACTGAGACCATAATGTATGACTTCAAAGGAAACATATCCTATGTCATGCCACATCTCTTAGTATGTGGGAAGTGTGTAGCTTTCTATCCCTCTTTTAAACGTAGTTGGGCTTCCATTGCTCTACAGAAGTTCATGTACTCTTCTTGTACCATTACACTTGCCAAATGTTGAGAAGAGTGTGATTCCATTAAATCAGAACATATATTTCCCATGGCTGCATGATAGCTCAAGCGGTTAGATGCTGGCTTCCCACCACGGCAGCCCAGGTTCGATCCCGAGTCTGGTCAAGCGGGATTTGTGGTGGACAAAGTGGCGCTGGGGCGGGTTTTCTCTGAGTACTTCGGTTTCCCCTGCCAATCTTCATTCCACTAAATTCTCCATCATCATAATCACCCGGGGCAGGTACAATAGGTCAGTCAGTGGCCGCTGTGCCAACTGGACCCAGTTGGACTCCACCCCCCACTAAGTGAATTAATTATATTTTCTATCATGTTTCACAACATCTTCATACAAATGAGATATAATTCTTAAATACTGGGTAAGGTAAAAAAGAGATAAAGTTGTCCCTGTACTTAACTGATTGAGCACTACGCCATGAAGGCATATGGGGGAGTGGATGTATAGATCCACATTTTCTTGACCTCAGCACTGTTTGGAGGTGAGTGGTCAGCTTCACACCCCTGCCTCTTTTCCCCCAGGGAAAGAACCCCTGTTCCCTTTGGATAGGATGCTGGGTGGGCCTCACAGCCGGTCTGGATGACATGGAGAAGAGAAAATTCATGACCCTGCTGGGACTCTAACTCTGATCCCTCTGTCGTACAGCTCATAGCCAGTCGCTATACCAACTATGCTACCCCAGGTCATGCTTAAATGTTGAGTATCATTAGTAATAAGAAATTTTAATTTGTCTGTGTTAATGTTTCTTTGTAAACAAAACTGACTGCTGAAATAAGGAAGCAGAAGAATAAAATGTTACAGTACTTGAAATTATAAAGAGAACGGTAAGAGTTACTGTATACTTTGTTTCTAGAATGCTCTGCTGGTTCTACTGGGAGGTGCAGATAACGCTGAGAGTGATATTACACGTCAGACAGAAACCAGTAAACCTGCCAGCACAGACAATCAGGATCTTCTTGATCTGTTAGGTAAGATGATGGCGTATTGTCATTCTATAATTGAAATGCAAGGGGAAGTTTGCCTACTCTGTGCTGTTAACTTAAAGTTATTTCACTTGTGAAGTTTCCCTTATATTTATTTATTGACAGTATGATGAGGTGAAGTGACCATTCCAGTTCCATATGTGGGAGGCGCAGTTCCAGTAGTATGTTTTTGTTTGTGAGAAATTGGTTATGTTTATCTTTTTAGTAGACTCCACTTGTTTGTATACTAGAATTCTTTTTAAGTAGCATTATGCCTTAGTAACATTTATCTAAGTGGCCTCCATAGTCTAGGGGTAACGTTCCCACCTCATGACTCAAGGTACTCGGGTTCAAAAACCCGGCGGAGGTCGTGGAATTTTTAAGGGCAGAAAAATTCAGGGAACAAGTCCTTTGGGAGGAACTTTAAGCCGTGGGTCCTGTGTCGTAGATTTATGGCACGTAAAAGAACCTCATGTCTCTAGGAGACCTCTGAGCAAAATTAGGCCAAGTTTCCCACCCAAGTAGTTTCCAGTTCCTCTGGTAGATGGGGGAAGTATCAGGTACCACTGCCGGAGGAAGGGGGACCTCTCCGACAGGAAGGGACTAAGGTATTAGATACCACTGCCAAGTAGAGGGTAGAAACCTTGCTGGCAGAAAGGGACTAACTATTAGATACCACTGCCAGTAAGAGGTTGGAACCTCGCTGGCAGAAAGGGGCTGATAGTAAGCACCAGTACCGGTAGGGTATGGAGACAGTAGAAATTAAAAGGGGGACGCACAATGGACCAGTAACCGGTCTAAGTGCATGGGGAAACACACCCCCTCAGTACAGAATACAGAACATTTATCTAAAGTAACTCCTTGGGGGCAAAATCCTTCTTGAGTAGCTACTAGCCTGGTAGTCAAGAAATCAGTAGCTGTTTGTAGTGTGTGAATGTTCATTGCCATGTTTGTGAGAGTATACAGCTGATCCCAGTCTGGAAGCAGATGAATTCAGTCCTGACTTTCATGAATGAAATGCAAGTGAAGGAGAGGGTGTGCTGAAAGATGCATTGAAGAGAGTTGTGGATTTGCTTTGGTTAGTATAGTGATTAGGCTACTGGCTGGACAAGTGGGGATTCCCAGGGCGGGGGCTAAAGCAGCAGGAGTGTGAACCTGACTCTTCCATGGAACTTGATGGTGTGGTACTTAATTAAGTTTAAGGATAAATCTACCTTCATGTTTTCCTACCTCTTTTCACTATCACTTTAATTTTTTATACATCAGTTTCCTCTTAATGCTATTTTATTGATGATGAAATGACAAGATGTAGCGCTTATGCCAGATTCTTCCGACCAATTACAGTGCAGTTCCAAAGTAATGGGCTTGGTTGTAGGCATATGAAATTGCATGTGGTATTGTAATATGAAAGTAAATTTAATAGTACAAAAGAGATTTCCAGAAATTGAGATTTTTGTGTCATCCTTTTTATTTAAGATTAGTCAGTTGACTGACCATGAACTAGATGACCAGGATTCAGTTACCCACAGATGAAAAAATTTCCTCTCTCACTCTCTTTTGCTGTCAACTTCATACTAGCTCTGGAGCACAACTGGGTTATTAGCAAATGTATATTAAGGGCAGTTCTGCTGAAGTCAGGCCCCTTACATGTGAAGTTACCATGGTTGCATCACCATGGTAGCTGTGGCTGTAAAGGGGTTTGATATGCCTAAAGTGTGAAACTGACTGACTTTCAACGAGTGCCATGGTATGTGGTGGATCTTTACCTTCATTCCTTCCATTCACCTTCATGTCATTATTGATAGACACAGGTGCAGCTTTACATTTTTTTTTACTTCTGCATCCATTGCAAATAATTGTCATTACTTTTTCCCAGTTTTCAGTAAGAGAGACTCACTACATTACTTTCTTGTCACTCATGTTATTGCCAGTGGTCATACATATATTTTTTTCTGTATTGATTTACAGGCGGATTGGACTTGAACAGTATTACCTCTGCACCAGTAGCTCCTCAGAACAACAGCAACATCCTCCTGAACACAAACCAAAGCTCTAACTTCTTAGTGGATGGTCTTCTGAACAGCGAACCTGTTATAAACCGTGAGTTCAAAGAAGTTAATTGTTGTTAAGGTCATATTTGCTTATGTACGGGCCGTTATACAAACATATATGCCTAGATATCCAGAAAGATGTTCCAACATTAGTTAAATGTAAATTTTCTGTTCAGTGTAAAGTAACAATATCACAAGTAGTTACTATAGGATTCTGACGATGGTGTATAACACTTAACAGATATTGGGTTTTCGGACTTTATCCATCATCCTGGTTTCAAGATAACTAAGAAAAACATGACGTTTCAGAAACTGGATCTGTTTCCATCCTCAGGTGAGGCTCAGGTGTCCAGTGATTGTGGCTAGCTCTTTCTAAGGGACCCAACAGAATAGGTGTTTTCCCTCACCTGAGGACGGAAACAGATCCAGTTTCCGAAACATCGTGTTTTTCTTAGTTATCTTAAAACCAGGACGATGGATAAAGTCCGAAAACCAAATATCTCTAAACAATATCACAGTCAAACAAAATCTATTTTTAGCAGTTGGCTTTAAAGATGATACCTAACGAACAGTTCTTAATGAAAGTTGGTGCAGAAACTCGACATAAATATGTGAGATTGGGGTTTTGATGGTAGTGACTTTGAAGATCACTGATTTGTGGGACATTATATTTTGTAGGCTGGTAAATGTTTACTGACATTCCTCCAGGGTATTGGTAAACATCCACCAGCTTACATGTTGTCACGTCAAAGAAGATAGTAAGCTTCAGGTCATAAATATGCGTATAGACTCTGTATGAAACATCTGTTATGTGTTACCATTTGCAGCATGATGTATAACTTTTCTGTCTTTCTCACTTACAAAATAAATTCTGAATTTTTATATTTAAGTAATAATAGACCTCCTTAAGAATGCTGATCATGCATGAATTTATGGGGAAAATCAATTTTTAGTCGGTGAACTAAATATATTCAGATGTTAGTAAACACATGATCGTGGCGTGTTCAGTTCACATTATGAAGCAAAAAATTGTAAATTGTTCTAGATAATAGGCTGGGTAAATTGACCACTGGTCACCACTTCTCATTTCAGGATGGATAATATTGCATGCTGTGAGTGGTGAATTTTGTTAAACAGACTTTAGACCTTAGTTATAATTCTGGGATACTGGATAGTAGTAAGATGTTATGGTTGTTAGCAATAATTTCTGTGTGTCTGTGTTTTATAGATTTACCAAGTATCACAGCATATGAGAAGAATGGTCTGAAGATAGTGTTCTCTTTGGAACGTCTGCCAGAAAACCCCAACACGACGGTGATCAGAATGTCTGCCATGAATGAAACCCTTAACCCTATCACCGAGTTCCTGTTTCAAGCTGCGGTGCCTAAAGTAAGCCAGTGTTATGAAATATTTTGGTCACATTTTGCAAAGCAACTTAAGAGAACATTGAAGATTTTAGAGAAATTACTTTACTTACGTGAGCATAAGACCAGATATTTTCCTAATTTAGCTTCTGAAAAATTAGGGTTTGAAGAATGCAGTCTTCTGGGATTTGGCACCGTGTATATGTGGTGTTAACCGACGTTTCGGAGGAACGTATCGCCTCCATCTTCAGGGTAGAAAAAAATTAAGAAAATATAAGGTATTACCGGTTCTCACGGTCTCTTCGCTTGCAGATTTTTTATATTTTTTCTTCTACCCTGAAGAGGCGATACGTTCCTCCGAAACGTCGGTTAACACCACATATACATGGTGCCAAATCCCAGAAGACTGCTTTCTTCATAGTCACCGCCGTGAAAGCCTCAAATCTTAAATTAGGGTTTGTTTTATAATTGCAAACACACTGGGATGAATGTTGACATTACTCGATGGTTTTTAATATGTATTAGGGCCATTCCACAGCCTAGTCAGAAACTGTCTTTTCACCATAGATTCTCTGGTTTGTTCAGCAAGCTGCCTATGAGAGATTTTTTATGGGACAGGGTGGCAGTGAAACATGTTTCTCTTTCAATACTTCAGTTTTACGTGCCACTCACAATTACATTAATCCTCATCATGGCCACTACAGTAGACATATTTTAGGCTGTAATGCCAAGGGACTATGTCTCACTGCACTCCTATGCTATTGTACGTAGTGTGGCATGAACACATCCACCTATGTTTTATGTATATATCCTTTGCAGTACAGCAGCACAGTGTACAGTGAAACACAAATTTAAGGTTTCATTGGGGAGCAATGGATTTGAGCACTGAACACGAAAATATTAAATGGAAGAAATTTAAAATGCAATTACTGCTGTAGGGTCAGTGCAATTGGAGGTTGATTGAGGGAGAACTTTAAATTGAGGAACATTAAATAGGAGGTCTGTTGTACCAGCCGTAGGTGATAGGTGACGGTGATTGTGGAGCAATTGGTGGAATGAAGATTGGCAGGGGAAACCGAAATACTCGGAGAAAACCTGCCCCAGCACCACTTTGCCCACCCCAAATCCCACATGACCAGACGTGGGCACGTTCCTTTGGCTCTCGCTTCTGGGGTATTGCGTTGCCATGATGCCTTGAGCCATTGACACATTAGTGTTCTGCATTGGGCTTTATTGTTCTGGTTGGTGTCAGAACATGGTTCCCAGCCAAAAGCCATCTGGAACATTCTTGTTTCATGTCATTCATAAGAGGCTGTTGAGGTAGGCAGTGTATTTATGAGGTATTCCTTCCTAGGTTAATGTTCTCTGCATGAATCATAGATCTGCTGTCCACTGTTAAATGACCTTCACATGCATCCAGCATAAGCACTCCTTGTTTTCTTGACAATACTCTTGGTCTTGGGTTCTGGACAATCATCAGTTCATTTACCCATCAGTCCGTTAGTCTCTTACATGATTATTAATCCACTAAGCAGATGTGCCTTAGGCATGTTTCCTGATGTCAGTCACATCTTTCCTTTGCCTGATGTCTGTGACAACAAATAATTCCCTTGTTTCCACATTAAGATGTTTGCCTTGGGAGACATTGATTTTTTTTTTTTTTTGCTGCTTCACAGTTGTTTGTTCTGTATGTTCAATCAACAACAGCCTTAAAATACAAAACACAACTGCAGTACCTGATACATTTTGACACATCATTCCCTTTCACACGACTCCTCCTCTCTCGACATAATTTATCATTTTGTCAAAGAACTTTTGCAAGATCCAGGCTAGTCTAGTTGTTATAGCGACTGGCTACGAGCTGGACAACCAAGGGGTTAGAGTTCCGAGTCCCAGTAGGGTCAAGAATTTTCTCTTCTTCACGTCGTCCAGACTGGCTCTGGTTCACCCAACCTCCTGTCCAATGGATACCAAGGGGTATTTCTCCAAGGTTAAAGTGGCCAGAACGTGAAGCTGACCGCTCACCTCCAACTAGTGCCGAGGTCAGGAAAATGTGGATCTATATATCCAATCCCCCATATGCCTTCATGGTGTAGTGCTTAATTAGTTAAGCACAGGGACAGCTTTACCTTTTACTTTTGCAATAGCACCAGATTTTGTGCTATAAATCATTAATTGTCATGGGTTTCCAAACTTGGTGCTTCATTCAACTTCATGGTAACTTGTGGCTTCTGACCTTGAAGTATACACGTGTCTGTCTTACTTTCTTGCTTGCTACTTTCCTAGCAGGATAGTGTGAGTTATTCTGTGGACATAATGAAAGCTTAAAACAGATTATAAACAACTAACATATTGTAAAGTGTTTACGTTACTGAATACGCCGTAGAGATCGTTAACTGGTTTATTGAACAATCTACAACTATCGGCTACTCTTAATTATCACAACGTTACGGGTTTCCACAGTTTACAAACCCTACAATAAAATCTCTTAACACCGTCTTCACTTGTCTTCACGTACTAATAACGCGGGAGCTATACAAGTCTCCCTGAAATACACACTCCGAGTATAACTGTACTACAGCAATCACTATGTCTGGAAAGCACACAATAAGTCTTCCGCTCGCTGACTTCTTCGTTGTCGCACACTCGCAGGCTGCTATGTTTCAACTGATGATCACACTGCTGTGGGTCCGCTTATATAGCCTTGCGCTGTTGCTAGTGTGACGTGGCGGATAGCATAGGACGCTGTTGCTAGCGTGACGTCACCGCTGTTGATTAGCATTGCGTAGTTGCCAGGTTACGGGGCTCGGCTATCTTCGGCTCCGCTCGGCTCTCTTCGGCTCCGCTCGTGACGTCACCGCGCGTTGCGCATTGCGGGGT